CCGCCTGATTCCTCAGGGCGTGTACCGGCGTCGCTAACTCGACTTAATGGCCCGCTAGCCACCGCCATTGCCACCCCTTTGTGTACGTGATTGCGGCGAAGAAAAGATAGCGGTTTATCGCGGCAACCTGACGCACTGCGGGTATCAGAATCGTGAACGTTACCGCGGAATGTTCCCTTGCTCAATTATAATTAACTGTTTGTTGCTCCACCGCCGCTAATTACTTGCTTCGTGTGCTTGGTAATCGACCGTTGTACTTGTTTATGATACTACATCGAGTCGATCGAGTCGAGAATCGCGGTATAATCGAAACTAATCTTGCTATGATCTTTGAATTTTTATATTTCAATCTTGCTCTCGTTTTAGCGAACGATTTTAAACACTGTATCAATTATACCAATATGTTATATTATTAATTTGGTTTACATCAATTTTTAAATATTGATCCTCTTGATATATTTAGCAACGTCGGACAAATTGTTCGAACGAATGGAAAGCGATAAATAAATACAGATATATTATAGATGTTTACATGTAGCCATTAATTGTAAAAAAGCGAAATTTATTTGTAGAATCGCTTCGTAAATACGTGACAAAATACACACGGTATAGTTCATACAGTGCATTTTACGCGATCGACAGCTACTACGTCTATTGTTATCATAAAATTGTTCCTGTTATTTCCAAACAAGACAAGCTCTCAACGTGTATACTTTAAAATATCCTTTAACCTTATTCGCGTTCACGCCACTCGATGTTAATTAGTCGATCAGTATAAAATCACCTGACAAATGATACAACGTTCCTTTATATCAGTCATTCTGGCCAATAAATAAAATTAGAACGAATTAACAGGAACGAAACCGACACGGAATATACGCGAGTAGGTTAAAATTTCGGTCTCACGGATTTACAATACAAACACACAACGCGTTTTTTTTTGCAAAAACTGCAAGCTTCGAAGGAAAAAATGAAAGAAAAAAGGAAGCTAAAATCCGCAGTGTAATCCTGTCGACTCTGTTTCGAGGCGTAACGAGCCTTAAAAGTTTCTCGTGGTTGATTTTCACACGGTCGCATTCGCCCTATTTGGCCATTATAGTCAATAAACAAAATTAGAATTAACACGAAAAGGAAAACTAACACGTGAGTAGCTTAAAATTTCCATCTCGCGTACATGTGTATCTACGGTAGAATTACATCGCGTTTTCCCAAAAACTGCAAGCTTCGAAGAAAAAAATTAAAAAAAAAAGAAGACAGCAAAAATGCTGTAATTCGCAGAGTGGCACGAACGACAAAATCGTCCTTCTGATCCTGTTTCGAGGCGTAAACGGGCCTTAAAAATTTCTCTTCGTTGGCTTTCAATGTCGCGCGTACACGTTCGCGTGTCGCATTCCCGCTCGTTGGCCGCCGTATCTGCTCCACTTGGACTGAATAAGTTTACGGTCCCGAGCGGAGCGGAAGCGGTGAGCCCGTTCGGCGGCAGCGGAAAAGGGAAGGGATCGATGGTCGGGGGTTGCGGGCTCTGGACCGACAGCGTCGTCGGTGGCTTTGAAAGATACGCTTAATAAAGCCGGCTAGCACTCTCGCCGCGGCACAGTCGTGCTCTAATATCAACGCAAATGCGACTGTTTTGTATGCTAATTGACTCATATACATACGTACGTCGCTCGTCCTACATCGCCGGCCGCTAAATAGATATAGCCGATGCGTGCAGTCAGTGGAGCCGACCTGCCCGCTAGCCTGTGTAGTACGGGATAGGACATGCCTGGGGAATGAAGCCCATTTGCGTCCACGCGCTTGTAACTTCGCGTCAGCCTCTTTTCCATGTTTCGTTGACAGCCTTCGGACGCGTGCATCCCGGCAATGACGATCCGTGATTTACTTGCGGTGAGATGGATGCCTGCTGGTAGAGATACGTAGTAGTTGGTCCTCGTAAGTTACGGATTTTTTCTCCTTTTTTTTTTTTTTTTTTTGGAAGCTGATTTATTTTGGAAACATAGTACAGTTATATGTATATATTTATATGTAAGCTCTGTTTATTGGAATGGCTTTCTTTAGTTCTATTTATTTAACCCTTTAACAACGTAACTGAGAAGTGTAAAATAGAGGATTATAAGCTTCGCATCATAAATATTGTTACACGTAACACAATTATTAATATCTGTTTGATATTAACGGTTGAAAATGTATACCCTTTGTATGTGACAATAGGGATGTAAGGAATTGTGTAGTGTGTATCAGGATGTTAAGTATATTAATTAAACACTGAATATGAGAAACTTCTCTGAAGCTGTAAAACAATCGGTGGCACTATCTAGCGAACACAAGTGCAACTGAAGTCGCTCTGTTCCGAGAAACTCGATGCCACCACTGTCGGATTATTCCACGGTTTACTCCTTAAATCACGTAATAATTCAATCTTCTCGGAATACGGGTTTTCTGGTAAATTATAGTGCAACTTGAATCGTTAAATTGCGACATAGCTTTCAGGGAGAGGATTTTTTAGGGGAAGAGAGAAACGAGTGAAACACACGAGATAACCTTTATTCATCAGATTGCATTTTCTACAAAAAAGAAAAAAAACAATTTCATTTAGGGTGTTTTATTACAATGTGAAATAGTTCAAAGAAGTACAATTGTATATATAGCTTTTATAATGCTACGCTTTTACGTATAATTAATAATGCAATACGATATTTAAAATTATTAGACTGCAGACTTTTATGGAGAATTTTTATGTACGAAAATACAGAGAATATATATAATATGAGAAAATATATAGGACGAAACAAATCTGTATGGAAGTTCCATTTCATTAAAAATATAAACTGATATAAGTATCTCTACGGTGTATTAATTATGAATTAATTTTTTCATCGAATCATTTAAGACTCGTTGTGATTTTTAATATTATATTCATAATATTGCATATCTATTTAATTTCCACATCATCTGCTAAAACAGCATATGCATACCAGTACTTAAATTTTGCAAAATTCAGACAAATGTAAATTCCTATCTAAATGTGTGTATATTTAAAGCTGCTTGCTTTTTCGAGGATTTTGTTCCTATCCATAAAGTTGGTTTTAAAAGTTAAACTTGTACGATATCGTAGTTTTGTCGTTTCTCTCACAATTTGCTCGAAAGATTTAACAATTGTACACGAGGACGATAATTCTGTTACTCGTTTTTCGTAATTATCAAAACCCACCGATCAAAATTATGCTGATAAATTGTGACACACGTTTGTGCAGCTGCCCTGCATACGTTTAACATGTCCGCATTACGACACAACAGTCGCGTTCCGTTTTGAAACCGAATCAACGCGTTAATGCGCTCGCTGTATTATTACACGTAACACTGCCGCAAATAATAATTAAGAGGGTGGCCACAATTTATTCGTCGTTCGCGTAAACAAGTAAAACCCCTACTGATTTCACTGCCGCTGCAATTTGCATTTCTACGAAGCGATAAAGTAGATTATTTCGCAAATAAATTAGAATTTCAGGGGTGATTAGATTACGTAAAGCTTTCTTAAACACAGATTGAACTTTTTCACTTTTCTTTCTCTTTTCCTTAATTTTTCATGCCATTAAACATTATATATACGTAAATAGTTGTATAATAATAATAAAAACTTCAGTACCCCCTGCTTAATAAACAAAAAACAAAAAAAAAAAAAATAAGCAGATGCAGCGAGTCACGTCTAAACTATACACTTCGTACGAAGACACTTCATTGATAGAATCTTTTTATAGAATTTTCTAGGGTTGAAGATTCTGTGAATCAACTCGTATTTCTCCATCGTTATAAAATTTCCGAAATATAAGAAGAAAGAAAAAAAAATCGTCACTCAACTTCCTCAACAATCAAAAGTCATTTTTTCGACAACGACGAAAGCAGCACCGAGGCATACAAACTGCTAGAATCGGAACAGGATTAAAAATATCAACATACAAACATGCAACATACAGCTATAAAAAAACACGTTGAATATCGGCATACGTCAGAAAGTACAGACACAAATGTCAATTACCAATGCCACGCGGGAATCTCGCGATTCTTCGAGCACGATTAAGCGAGCAGTTGGTTGGCGGCAATCTTAAACGTAATACGCGGTTAACGATCGACGATGGTTGTTCCTTTATTCATAACGGACGCCAAAGCGCGTTCCATTATGCGTCGGACGCCGGTGAGCTCGAACAGGAGGAAACCAAGCATGTCAGCACGGACTCGCCTCATTTTACATCCCAATAAACCGGTATTAGCCGCCGCAATAAATACTCCTCCTGCATTGTTTGCGCCAATAGGACGGCCTCATCCGTCTGCCGATTAAAGCTGACGGTGCAAGAGCGTCCGAGTGACCCGATGCGAGTCCGCAATTAATGTTATTTTCACGGCGCAACTTGTTCGAGGCAATTAAGGCGTTATTGATGAGCAGAGAGTCAGTGATGCAACTCGACGAAGAAGTTGCTTTGTTATCAGTAACGAAGGTCGATGATGTTCCAAGATATAAGCGAAGTTGTAACGAAAGGATAATAGATTATCGATAAACATTTTAATATTTCAATATTTTCTTTTTAAGTTATCGACGAATTCAATTCGATAAATTAATCCGATAGATTCGGCGAATCAAATTTGAGAAATTAAACGGAAAAGATATAAGTGGCGTTGTAAGGAAAAGATAACAGGTCATCGATAAATGTTTTAATATTTCAAAAGATATCTTTCTACGTCTTCTGTCGTTGTTTATTACGTTCGTTTATCAATAAATACTGTTAAACTAGTAAGTTTATTTATTCCTGTATTCATTCTGATGTTATTCTGATATCCTTTATGATTATGGCTGAAAGAGCACTTGAGAAAAATTGATCGTAAGTAGAACGTAAAAAAAAAATATTGCTTATACTGGATCGTAAATGGAAATGTTGATATGTGTATGCGTATGACGGTAGAAAATTTATGTTGTAGTCACATGTTAATAATTGTAATTGTTATTAATTTTAGTGACCGTTAGAAGCGCTGTAAACATTCCACTATGTTTTTAATCATACCGTGTATGTTATTTTACCAATTAGTAACGCTGTATCCACGATTTAGCAGATACTTGTACGTTGCAACGGAAATAAAGCGTTTGTCGGATCTTCCTGGACGGAACACACAATTTTACATCGTATCGCAAATATCAATTCGAAGTTGCCCTAAAACAAACAAAAACTGGGAGAAATGCTCGATTCGGAAAACCTAGTGCAGCAACTGCTCGATCAGCCAGATTTGTTCGCTCGTTCGCGAAAGGAAGAAAAAAAGTGTGAGAGAGAGAGAGAGAGAGAGGCGGAGGGAGGGGGAGGCGAAAGGTTAGAAGCAGAGAATTCACCTGTTATCGTCGCTAGCAGGTTGCTCAGCACTTCCGTTTGTTTTCCGAGCCGTTTTCCGAGTCATCTGGCCAGCTTGTTTGACCGATTTAATCCCAGAGATCGGCCGGTAACTACGTTAGTTTTAACGAGCCACCATAAAGGACGATCCAAATTTATAGAATGGACGGTAATGGTCGTCCACTTTCCAACTGCAATCTGGCCGCGGATCAGAATTCACTCGATTCATTTGAATTTCCAGAGAGTGTTCTGAATAGAAACCACGGTTTTGAATGGAATATTAATAACTTCAACCGGCACACACCGGGTATATAATCATTCATATTCATGTTTTTCTTTTTTTTTCCTCTTCTCTCTTCTTTTTTTCTTTCTTTCTTTTTTTAACTCGGTTCCCACTACCCCGTTCCTATTTCCCGTTTGATTCTGGAACAGTGACGAATCCGGGTATCAATTTTTCCCGCGTTTCACTCGCTATTGATTGATGGTATTCTCTAAATAGCCCCGTTTGCTGCGTATCACACGATTTCTGCCCGCGACGAGCCTCGCCTGGAAAAATTTCCCCGTGATAAATGCACCTCGTTAATTCTACGATCTTTTACGGCTCTTGGAGGAGACACACAGTTCAGCTTCGCCGTAAATTTCCTCCTACTTTATACGTCACCCTCTCCTTTTTTCTTTGTTAGCCTTAAAAATTTTATCTATGGGATTGTAGCTCGTTTAATAGTACAGCAGCTGCTTCCGGAGAAGATTAACTCGAATTTTCTTTTTTCCCCGGCTGAAATTTCATGCGGTTTAGGAGTTGCAGGTTGTTTAGAATGTGGTCTTTGTATCTTATGATAATTGTAGCGAATACGATAGTTTATTCGATGCGCGTTAAATTATTCTCCTGATTAATTTCCTTTGTCAAATTAATTTTTCTATGATTCGTTCGCTGTATATTTGAACTAAAAGTGCAAACATTATAAGCAAGTATTTTTACAGAACTATTCTTTATGAAAATTGCTGTGTACGTAACCCAGTAGTTGAAAAGTTCAAAAATGTCAACAATTTCAATGACGATGTAAGAGAGTTGTAAGACTATTTTTCTATAAAAAGTGAAAAGCTGATTTATCATGACCATCCCTTGTGCACTTGGATTTAATTATTTTAATTATTTCATATTAAAATACACCTCTTTAACCGTCAAGTGACATTAAAATCAGAAAACCTACAAAAATATGAACTGTTATAAATTTAAATTCCTATCTTGCGTCTCTCTATCTCATTTGCTAGAATGTATTAGCAAATACAAATGGAGCGAACGAAAAATTAACACGAGATTAAAAACAGTCTACGTCTCCCGATTACATCGGACAGTCGTTCGTATCGTCTGACCACGCATGGTCGTTACTACTGGCGTAGCCCTTCGGTTCGCGACTCGCCGATAAAAATACTCCATAAAATATCCTCGTAACGGTCGTAACCGTGTCGATTCAACGGACTGGCCGGATATCGTCGACGATGCGTCTACCATGTTCAGTGCTACCGCCGCGATACGTACCGCTCGTTATGCATTCCCTTCAGAGGGCCGCGATATTAGGTCACGCCGATAAACGTTTCGATCTCGTGGACGACGGCTTTATATTCCTCTCGTATTATTGCCGGCGACTCGTTACGAAGTCGTCGAAGAAACGTTCCCCACGTCGATCGTTTTTTATGATTTCAAAAAAGGCGATTAACGATTTAGTTCGCACGGCTGTCGGGCGATCAAGTTACCAAACAGGATGCACGAACGACGTGTGAATCGAGTTACGCGATAAAACTCGACGCTTCAATGGCACGTGAAAATACCATGTTACTTCGATGTTTCATTTTGCGAACTCTTTCTTTTCTTCCTCCGTTTCACTTCTATTCGCCAGCGATAAAAATGAGCGGAATGTGTTTCTTGGTTGTTGATTTTTTGGTTGCAAGTGGAAAACTTCCCGCTTTGTGGCGTTATGGATTAGTACGTGTTGGATGTCATTGGATGCAAGGGAAGACCACACAGAAAAAGCACGATAAAGTCGCTATCCTTGTTGCGAAAGAATCCAGGCCAAGCGAAATGATAGATTCGCATTACAAAATGGTTTTCAATCACTTGGAGTCGAGTGATCCGAGTAGCGATGAGAAGCGTAAAAACTTCATAAAATACATCAAATAAATGGCAGGTTCCTATTCGCTAAAGTGATTTCGAACGATTGTTTGACTAATCTGAACAGGAGGACGAAGATCGAAGTTTCTGATTTCGACGATTTCTTGAATATTTTCGATGAAATCTTCCTCCAATTATTTATACGTATTGTAAATGTTTTCACCACAAAAACGTTTATCCATAGCATTTTGAAAACATTACACGTAATTTGGGAAGAAATAAAGTTTCCGATTTCTTAAGTTTTTTTAAATTGTTTATAGAATGATATTTTAATTACAGAGATATTAATTGATGATATTTTGAAATCGAGTTAATTTTCAATCATTTAAAATTGTAATTCCTTCAGAGAGCTCGGTAGATCGTTTGATAATACTTTGGGAAGCTTCTTCGTTTGTATCCACGGATTGCATTGGCGACTATTACGAAACCGCGTCTCGTCGTAATTCTCTGTCACATTACGATTATAATTACGAAATGTAGCGTCCGCGGAAACTTCATTTAAAAATGCCCGTCCCTGGGGTCACGACTGTGCAACTTAGTAATTATTAGAATTATTACGGTCCAGCCCCAATGGCCCAAAAGTTTTTCCTCGTCCTAATTACAATATAGAATTTTACCTAACGAAATTGCAAACGGAATTCGTACGATTGTTTCAAACGAAATATCATTTTTATGTCATTCGTGTATGATGGCTTTGCCAGTTTTATATTGTTACTAATATCGTCACTTTTACGTAAAATTATTAACCCTGGTGCGATTGTGTTTTTCCGATTACCGAATTTCTTAAATTTGAGAAAAATAAAATAACATGGATTAAAGTAACGATATAAAGATAGAAATATGAAGTAAAATATGAATTAATACGTAATTTATTATCGTTAAATATATTCTTGGGATTATACGTCAGTAGAAATATTAGTGCGAATATATAGCATTATCGTACGCTAAAATAGAAATATAACGAACAGTTTTCGATAAGAAGAATTTTAGTTTTTTATTTTTAATCAATGGATGTTAAAATGATAAGTAGAAATTTAAAAAATATCTCAACTTATCATTTTATTGTACTTTCGTAATCACGTTCGTCATTATATTAATTAAGCATGTTACTAAGTTCGTAATTTTTCTAAGTAATTAGAAAGAATCAAAATTGCAAGTTCAGATAACGTGTATTAAACATCCTTCATTATTCTCTCACAGAGTTCATGCATCTATTCACTATGAAATTGCAAAATTATACTGGTCGTAAGTTATGCAAATCATTAAGTTCCCTTAGTCTATCTAAACCGAAGTTAGTGTCAACGTTTCAACGAGAACCCTTAGAACGTCTTATTACTCAAACTGTAGCTATGTATGGTAGGATTAATAGCGTTCATCAAGAACTGATTTACTCGAAATTGCCACAAGAATTAGATGCAAATAATACCAAAATCTGTTTTCTACTATTACACTAGCGCTCGTAAATATCGTGATCTTTCACTCGTAAATAAAACAATATGTAGAAAATCTCTCGAGTGCCCAAAATTTTGAAATTGGTATCGTACAGTAGAAAACGAAATATTACGAAATATTCATCGGTCTAAGCGAACGATCGGCAGCTGTAAATCTTCCATTAAAATAGAAAGAAGATTCGATATCCGCGAACATACTAAACTTCGTCTTCTAAATAGACAAATCTCAAGGCCTACGTTAAATATACCAATTCTCGAAACGTCAGCTTTTTTTCCAGACCATTCTTTACAAATGTTACACAAGTAATGGAACGATTATTTAATTATTATTTAATAAATTCAAGATAGCGTATATTGTGACCACGGCTCGTATTATTTACATACGTCGCCAACATATAAAGAAACTCGAGCCAAAAATCGCGCGTGATATACCGAAGGGTCAGTTGCCATACTCAACTCCCACAACTCGCAGACACCTCGTTAACCCGAACAGAAACCACCTAAGCTCGAACTCGACAAAGAAACGGTCGTCCTCCAACGAAGAAACATGTGAAAAACAATCGAATCAACGAGGTAGCTAGCTGATGAACGCTTGACGCCTGGCACATGCAATTTATGCGTTGCCAGCGACGGATGGCGTGGCACTGTTATCAAGCCAAGGGTTCGTCGGTTCGAACCCCCAGCCGACGCCTAGATGGAGACGCGCAGGCTCGTGCAGCGTCCCGGAAAGCCGAAAACACGAGCGGCTCGTTCTACGGGTTCGTGTCTCTGGACGAACGACTGACGCTGCGCTGGCCGCAAGCGTAAAGCCGTGCTCGCAGCACCCTCCACGAAGCGCTGCCACCTCTTCGGCGACATCCACCACGGTCGGTAACCAGCCTGGATCCCCTTTCGCTTCGACGAGGCTGCCACGCACAGCAAAACCGGCCTGGAACCCTTTCTAGCGGCCAGAAAGGTCGCGTTGCTAGCTTCCCTCCGGCTTCTAGGCTTAGTTTAGAATGTTCAGTGGTGTGACCCGGCCAGACGCTCGTCAGCTGAGTTTTGGTTCGTGTCCGAGGATTATTGATCCAATCCTTCTCGGCGATTCAGTAAGCATAACAAATCACGCATTTACTGTCCCTGCTTCACGGCTACGATTCTTCGCGTATTTTTGGACGGAAGCATATTTGGCTGGGAGTAAGTCGTATATTTTTTTTTCGTTTTGTTGGTTCTTCGTGGTTGTAACGATTGCGTTGAAGTTGGAGATGGCTTTGAACGGGAGCGTGGGTAGTAGAGGTTCGACGCCGACGCAGATACTCGTGCGAATAAAGGAGTATCCGGGGAATGTTAACATTTCCGCTCATAAGTATCTAGATATTTTCGTTGCTTTGCAACGAGATACGAAGCTCGCTGAGATGGATAAATTAATGGTAAATTGTTTCCTTTATGGGTAGAGGAAACGTTTGTCGTCTTCAAATGTTGTACACTTTATTTCATTTGTTCCGAGAGTATTCTGAAAGGGAATGGTTGTTTAAGGTTGTTCTATTAATATCATATTGAAATTAAATACACGAGTCGATATTGCACTGGCTTCAATTTTACTGTTTTAATCAATCACCAGTTTTATAATTCTTGTAGTTTGTATCCAAACAACCTACTCTGTATTTGTGTATCATAAGAACGTTTTAATCTGTGTATAGTTAAGAAACTAAATGATCCAAGAATAAAGAACATTTTAAATAGCAAAAGTGTTTCATAATGTTTGGACGCTAACATAATCGATATCAATTTTGTTATCACGGATTAGTTTCTAATTGTACGTTAACGACATACAATTCTCGATAGACTTATCAAACAGACAAAACTTATCATTAGTCTTTGCATTCGTAATTCCGTAACTAAATTATATGCTGTAAAAATAAAAAAAATGTCTGAATACTTTTGAGCGACAGCTTATGCCCGTCTATCACTTTTGCTCGAGCCAAATGTTGTAGATGTTGTTTTATTCGTGCCCGACAGTAAGCGAATTAAAAGATTTCGATTCCATGGATGATTTAAAAATAGAAAGACCAGAAATCGAGGTAGATGTTTGACATCGATGAAATTATAGTCGAAAGAAAACGTAGTAAGTATACGTTCTCCAGTTTATTGAGCTGGACAAATTCTACGTCATATAGATTATGTGAAAATTCGATTAATTTAATATTCTGTATGTACAAATCTATTTACATTTTTCGCAAATCTATCAAATTATTTATTTTGTACTTTCATATCTAGTCTTTGCGTAATTTGAAGCTTCCCTTACTAATATGTGATAATATGAGGTCACAAAATTTCTATTTCGTGGTTGTATTATTACCTGGTGGAATACCTGATTACACAGCGATGTAATACCATAAATAATAAATTTCACATTTTGGTAGATGTTATGGAACCAAAATATACCTACTTAACCCAAGAATTTGATGGGACTGATGCTTGAAACGCTGTTATATTCACTGTGTCGCTTTCTACTGATATTAATTCTACATGCATTAAACATATTTGTAATAAATTGACCCATATACGTGTTAAATTATTATACAGCTGTACCATTTATACGAAACTCTCATTTGTACGGAATTAAACAGATCAGTGCCTTTTGATTCGCTTACTTGTTAATAACGCTTTGAATGTTAATATCACTTGTATTTCTTGAAATATAAAGCTTATAGTACTATTGCGTAATGTATGTAGCTTTTAATTTAAGATAAATTATATTAAAAAGACATTGCATTTACTACGAACAATTATTTGTTTGCTTTTTTATTATTGTGTCTCTTGTAAATTATATATATCCTTTTTAATTAATAATTTCCTATCGAATCACTTAAAATACTTATTTTTGGACGTAACGAGAAGTCGTTGTTATTCTTTCTTAACAAATTAAATTTGCTATTTGCTATTACAATTTACCCTAATTACGCGAATAATTATTACAGGTGTTACTGCATGGTCTTCATTCCCAAATGTACGAACAATTAGGGCTATCGATGATCTTGCTATTACATGCATACATTCTTGATGATATCACATCGTGATTGTTAATTTGTAATACACTTCGTTACACATCTACTATATACTACTTCGATCGATTCTATCAATTTTTCTATAATAATATCTATAAACATCTCCGAAATTAATTCTATTTTAGAATTACCTCGCTTAATTATTATTTGCTTAATTCTTTTATTAGAATCCTTCATTATAGCCGATATTTCCGTACACGAATTTTTTTTCATTGCCTTAACGTGTAAAATCACTCTATATATATATCGCTCACATATTTTTTGAAATCCTAAATATACATGTAAATATCGCATACATAAATATAGGTATATATCTTTTCTTCATCTGAATGTAAAGTGTGTCGATGAATTTTCTAATAATATCCCATGTGATACATACACATATATTTTGATTACCGATGAGACTAAAAGATTAGTCCGTACGTGGATGATAAATGTAACAAAGATTATAGACTATGACCGTATTCAGATGATTTAATGTCAAGTGTAGTTACGTATGAGAAACTCAGTCCTATACAACTGGTGTTCATTAAGTCAGTTCGCAATAAATTTGCGTCAGTTCGGTGAGTTAAGTTCTCTTTTTCGTTATCTAGATAGCCGACATAACTGACATACAGCACAACACATTCGTCATTTTAGTCATTTTTATTACTGGCTCAAGCCTTTCCCGAACATTTAATCTCTCTAGTCTATCGTGTCTGTATATTGGGATACATCGACGATATCAACGAATTATTCATCGTTAAAATCTGACAAAATGGAATTTCGAAGAGGAAAAGTTATAAGTGAAATATTTCTTTGTTTGGCAAAAATATAAAAAAGACGAACAGATAATTCGATGTTTGATGTGCCGGTGTTTTGTTGTTACAAAATACTGGAATTACTATACTTTTTCATTACCAGCCAAAACAACGCGTCCTTTATTCATTTTATTTTTGAAGAAATTATAAATGAACATAGTGATGCGCTTAGGTTTGGAATTTATTGATTATTAGTTTGTACCCAAGAAAAAAAAACAAAATACGATGAGATTAAACAAGTGTTTATACATTTCAAATGTGCAACTGAGATCAATTCGATAATACAATAAATCACAAGTAAATAACAAGGTAAAAAGGATTAAATAAAATTGCATTCAATTTTTCACATAAAATAAACTAATCTCTTACAATAACAGATTACGTCTACTTGGGAAAAAATTATTTCGGGGAAACGTTTATCTAATTACAAGATACTAAGTAAATTACGAAATTGCTCCATTTAATATCTAAATCATAAAATAACACGAAGAAAAATCATTCGCGGGTTCAAATAAACCGACTCACGATAATTATTAAGAAATAACATTTGACCAAATAAGATGACATATCGTCTAAATAACCGTCTGCCGGATATTTTATTCGAATCTGCGGTACTCTGATCTCCATGAAAACACAAATATAACGAGTCCACCTGTACACTCACACCATACTGATCGCCATGTGAAAGCCAAAAGAATTAAACCGTGGCCCACAAAGAAGCCCCGTTTCCTCGATTAAACGTTGAACAGTGAATCCTCGCAGGAAAGGGACACCAATTCGAGCCAGCCGTCTTTATCACTTTTCGATCACCGTTCGAATCTGTTCCGGAGTTACTTTCATCTGGCGGTCTCTATCTCGTAAAAAGAAGATCCTTTGGTGAAAGGTCGCGGGATAAAGTCACCGGCGGTCTTCTTCTTCGTTTTATCGTGGCTTCCGGAACGACCGAAATATCCAATGAACTGGCTCGAGGATCGAGTGACGGGCCGCGGGACGGTCGCGTTTCAACTCTGGAGCCAGTTCAAATAGAATTGGTCCGTCTGGAAAAACGAAACCGTAAATATTTACTGACCTCCTTTTGGAAGACAGCGCGAGGAGGACGGAGGAGAGAAAAAGAAGTGAAAAAAGAGAGGACGGGGCCGGAAAAGTAGAAGTCATTACTTCTGGCACGCGATAACGCGGCAGGATAAACGTTACATGCCATAAAAACATCTCTGGCCCGAGGTCCTCTTGCACAATTTAATCTCTGGTATTAATACAGCGAGCCGCTGCGCGTTTCGTTGTCACAGGGCTGCCCTAATAACAGCGAAAATCTCAAAAAAAGGACTTATAATGGCTTCCTCGCCCGACGACGTACGGAATAAATTTGTTTCTTTTTCTTTTTACGACCAACGTAGGGATTATAAACAGTTTATTTCGGTTATATAGTAATTTTTGGATTATATATCAATTGGGAATAACAATTTTCCAGATATAACTTTATTTTAGCGATAACGAGTTGATTACGATTACGAAGAAATTCAAAGTAAGGATATTTTGAAAAGTTTGAAAAATTATATTGAAAAAATTCTTTCGGAGGTGAAAATATAAAATTCTTGAGCTGCAGTAAAAATGATCCGTAGGCTCTAAAAAAAATTCTTAAAGAAACGATGAATGAGAATCCTTCGTTAATAACAATAGATCGATTGTGGCGAGAAAAATGAAAAAAAAAGTCAAAAGTTCGAACAAATTCTTTCGAAGATCTAATGACGTATTTAATAAATTGTTAAAATTATTTGAAGGTTGTAAAAAAGGTCTAAGACTCTACGGAAATTATCTAGGATAACTTTCAGTTCGCTAACTTTCGTTTATAAACGTTCGTGCTTCTATTCGTGAAACGGGGAATTCCTCTATGAGATAAAACATTATTTGGTTTTTAAGATAAAACATTTTTTGGTATACATACGTATACATGTGATTACCGCTGTATCATCGTAATTAAAAATATCCGAAAAGATCGGCTCACTTACGCTCGTTTCGCAATTTCGCATTACGAACCGTAATCTCTAACTGTAGTCGTTTCAAAATGCAATTTCCTGTTGCATTCTTCTCGAACAGGCGATAATGCCTATATATTCGCTTGTCCTCGCTCGTTTCCCTGTAACAATTTTATTTCTATATTTCTGTCCCCGTCAGAGGATATACGGCGAAACTTTACAGTTATAACACTTTGTGTCGGAAAACCATGAGCTATTGGTATTACGTTCGCTAACCTGTAAGTATGGCGCATGCATCCGCGATAGTATTTGATACAATTTCATACGCGACCCATCGACGAGCTTACCTTTACATTATTTTTTTTTTTAATTCATTTACATTAATTTTTTGATAAATTCTACGGATTTTAGGAAGCTCGTGCAGCTTTCGCGTTGTCCTGGTTTCTGTCGCTCAAATTTAATTTATTTCACGTTTAATCCTTTCAGAATCAAACACGTTTTTAATTTGCGAGGAAGATTATTTTTTTTTCTTTATTAAACATCAATAATTGGAGCTATATTAATATGGAAACTACATTACAGGATAATATCCAATCTTTTGAGCGCATTGTATTAAAATTATGATCACTTTAATCACACAGACCAATATTTACAGCGGTTGTTAATTTGCTTATCGAGAATTTGTTCACAATTCGAAGAAAAGGATTTACGACTAAGTACATTCTTTTTCTTTTCTGTATACCGCATCGAATTACGTTTTATTACTCGGCGAAAGTGTAGGTTGTATTTCTCTTTTTCAAACATTACAATACCGACGATAAACCGATGTGAAAATGCACTTTAGCTTAATATCGATGCACTCATTAATCAAGTTTTTCTGGTTGCGCGGGTTATTTCGTGATACTAGCGGCACGGGAAAGGAAAGTTTAAATTACACGTGAAACTAATTACGAGATGAGGATAAAACAAAACACACTGCAAAGTGGCCTTTTCACTGGCGCGACGTTCTATAATAGTGTAACTCTGGACACGAAATACCACGGAAAATGAAGTATAAAACGCGAAACAACGTGCACGTTATGATTTTAAAGAGAGAATTTTCAGCAGTATCGCGTTATACATCAGTCCTATGTAATTGATATTTTCCTTCATCTATGACTGAATTCGATATATACAAATATCTTCCATTCTATATTTTATATGCAACTATAAAATATATGATACATATTGCATATTGAACATAAAGTCATAAGCTTTTCTGTGTATCTGAATGGAA